ATTTAGGCTGTTTCCATAATTTGGCTATTGTTGAGAGTGCTGCTATAAACATTGGGGTACAAGTGCCCCTATGCATCAGTACTCCTGTATCCCTTGGGTAAATTCCTAGCAGTGCTATTGCTGGGTCATAGGGTAGGTCTATTTTTAATTTTCTGAGGAACCTCCACACTGTTTTCCAGAGTGGCTGCACCAGTTTGCATTCCCACCAACAGTGCAAGAGGGTTCCCGTTTCTCCACATCCTCTCCAGCAGAGAGATGTATTTTTGAAAGTAGCTGAGCCAGGATGTGATTGGACAATCCAGATGTCTAGCAGCTTGGACTTCTGGATGATTCCTTTTTTCTTGCATATTCTTTCCTGTTTGGTGGACAGAAGCAAGCAGAGAGCCACTAATGGTCCCACTAAGCAGGTCTGTGGAGAGTATCTACCATTACGATGCCAATCAGTGGGAAGGCAGCTCAAGTGCCCAGAAGGGATCAGGTCAAGTTGAACCTGCACTCCACACTGTGTGTGGTGGTGTGGATGAGAATCACAGCAGGAAAACACCCCCCCACCATCTGTGGGATACACTTACCACCCATGTATGCATAAGGAAAACATTACGGTATGGTTTTGTCCCTCAGCATTTATTGAGTACTGTCAAGTGCTGAGCTAAGTCCTTTCCACACATTATTTCGTCTTTCCAACAATCCTGTGAAGATATCCCTATTTTACCGATGAGGAAACTGAGGCACAGAGGGGGTACAGTAACATGCGCAGGGTTGCAGACAGTGAGAGGCAGATCTGTGGCTGGAACCCAAGTGAGCCCAACTCCAGAGCCCCAGCATGCACCTGAAACCCAGCGTAAACCCAGTGAAGAGAAATACACCTGGAAATCTTAATGGAATTCACAGGGTCTATTTTCTCAACTTTTAATGTCAACAAAGTAGCTATCAGGTTGAGTTTTTCCTCTGTATTATAAATTTAGACACATTGCCTGAAATACAATTCTTGAAGTGAAGAAGATGGCTTTCCTTGACCTATTTCTGAAAAATACATTCTCTATCCAATACTCAGACACACACCTTTCATCATTTTTTAAAGACCTAATGGGTTGGGCTTGTTCACCCCTAATACCCTTTCTTAGGAATACACAATTTTGTAGACTCCAGAAAACATGTATTTGCCTCTTTCTGGCGCTAACACCTTCAGTGGTAGTAAATCGGTCTTGAAAGAGGCCCATTCATTCTTTGGTGCCATTCGTATACACCAGCGGAAATATTTAGTGGTCTGAAATGATGGATTGGCGTCCTGAACACCTTACCCTAAGCAGCTTAAACCCAAAACAGATACTTTTGCCTGTAGGAAGGATTGTGCATTCGGAAATGTTTTTATGATCATCGATCTTCCTAGTGAAGAAGGTCAGCAGAAATTTTTACTCGTTTAAATTAAAACTGGGGTGAGGGGTTGGGGGCGGGCGGACACAATCACACAGGGTTCCGGAGAAGCCAGATGTCAGACACAGAATTCTGGCAACACGGTCGAGTGTTCCTGGAGACGGTGCCTTCAAGAATAGACGGGTGTTTGAATGCAGACCCTGATCGAGGCCTTCAGACCCCGGGCGAGCCCAAGGGGGGACCAACTCTGCTCCCCCTTCCCCCGACCCGAGAAGGGGCGGGGTCCCGGGGCGGGGTTAGCGGGGCCAGATTCGGGATGGGATTTGGGGAGAAGTGATGATACTCGGAAGCCGAGTTTGGTAGAGGTGGGCTGGGTGGGAGCTCACCCCAACTCCCGCATTTAGAACAGCCGCACTGTTTCCCTCGGGTCCCACTGTTTACCGTGGGTGGGAGGGGGCTGGGCTGCAGCCCTGGCCGCGCACCCTCCGGCCGAGGAGCGCGCCCGCCTCGCCCCC